AACTAAATGAGTTTGCTCTATATTGTCATGCATTATGTTTACTTTGTTTATGGTGGAGGATTTAGAAAATGTACATAGTTCCTCATCAGTCAATTTTCAAACCAATTTCAACACATTAGGTAACATAGAAGGCAGATGAACTACTAGATTGAATAGTGTTTCGTGAGTCACCACTGTATTTTCTTTTGGAATGCTTAGCTCTGTTTCACTTGTTTGTTTATTATCGTTTATATGGTCTTGGCTTTGCTAAAGCTAAAATGGTCTTGCTGAAATAAGCTGGTTCATCCATTTTCCCCCTCAATTTTATTACCTTTTTTTTAAAGTCGAAAATTGGGTATATGCAGTTAGTAAATAAAACCAATAGTTCCAGAGGTTGCAAACAGGAAATTATAGCAAGCCTCTGGAAGCTTCATTACTTTTCTAGAATGTTAATAAATTTATACTTTAACATTGGTCAATGAAGTATTAATTTAATTTCTAATATAGACTTCAAGCCACTGCCACAAAGTCGATCCCTTGTTTAAATTTAAAACAAAATGTGTAAAAGCAATAGAAATATTTTACATTATGTTTATTTTCAAAAGTGAATACCTAATTGGCTCACAATGTTTATGGAAGGTTTATGGAAGTGGCAGCATCTTTTTAAGATCTAGGACTCTGAAAATACAGTTGCACGGAAAGGGAAAGTGACTTGGGTACTTTTGCTGAATAGATTTGAATATTGCTTGAAGCTTCATTTACCTCATATGACAAGCATTCTTCTGTCGTTTTGAAGCGCCTTAGGTATATCCGAAGGGGAGCTTGCATCCACAGTGAACTAATTAAAATGAAATTATGGCTGGATAACGTTGGGGGTAGGTTTCTGTTGTGTAGCATGCGACTGGGACAGTGTGCACTGACAATTAAGGCTTCCCTAAACTTTTGCTGAATGTCTCTCGGTATTTTCCAGCTTTTGTGGCCAGGTGGTCTTTCAGAATACGGGAATTAAGTTATCTTTAGGGAGTGACAGTGAAAAAAGACATGGAGAATGCTGAAGCTGTTTGACCCTGTGTCTGCTTGTCGTCTTGCTACAAACATGCTTCCCTGACTTGACTGGATTGTGGAAGTCCTCATGTTTTGTTCTTAATGGTTATCCATTAGGGGTAAGATTCAGCAAAGAACTTGAGCATACCAAAAGGTTAAAAGCTGCAATGTCCAAGCGCATCTCCTGGTTCCTGGAGAGAGAGGCAGAATGTCCTTACCTGTCAGGATTCAAATCTATACTCCCAGCTCAGAGGACAGTCTTGATGGTCTAAGATTATGGCTGTTATATGCTGTACTTGAGGCTGCACTTTGGGACTACGCGGGAAGTGAAGCTAGTAGAGAATGCCTCATCCACTTGCATAGTGCTGTTATGTATAAAGAACATCCTAGTTTGTGCTGGCACCTGCACCCATTTCTACGCCTGAGGTCTTAGGTTTAAACTATTCAATCTTCAATGTTTTGACACGGAAAGAGAACGTTCTCCCTGCCATAGCTGAAGTCAGCAGAATTGCTCAAGTTAAAAAAAAGTCCTTTACCATAGTTGTGCTGGTATGGCATCCTCGGCTTTGGAGCTTCCTGTACACCTGACCTGCCTGATCTCCAAAACTTCTGTCAAATTGTTATGACCATTCATTTATTTCTATTTTGATGCTCTTATTTATTTAGTTATTCTTTTAATTTGAGGAATATTTTCCCAAAACAGTGGTAGGACCATATAGATATATTTCTGGAAATATAAAGAAATAAGAAAAAGCTTGGGCTTGCTGCCTCCAGTAGAAGAGATGCTGTTCAGCAATGGCACCTATTTGCCCTTCTGTTTCTTAGATGGACACTGCCATTAAAATTGCTGTTTAGTGTTGGTTGTGTGTGTTGGCCTTTCTTCATGTGGCTAGTTGCACGCAAGAAATTGGATTAACTACTTTTTTTACAAAACTCTTGAAAGTAGGACTTGGTCACAAGCCCTGTGGATTCATTCCAATGGTGTTGGCGTAAATTCAGCTTTTCAGTTCCCTGTACTATTTGGCCCTGCAGGATGTTTTTAGTTTAATTTTTGTTCAGTCCTCTAATCTAAACTGTGATGGGGTGAAGTTTGCGATTTAATGAATATAAACTTCTGTAGAGTAAGTTCGCAACAATACTTTTTATTGGCTTTTGTAGGAAATTGACTTTTATCTAATGGTGATACTGCTTGCTTAAAGCAAAACTATCAGTTTTATTTCACTTCTGCAATTGAAGAACTCCTTCAAGAAAGGAATGTGCTTTCTTAGCCTTTCTGACTGGGACAAGCCAGCATCAGAGCAAGGTGATTTAGGATGTGTGTAAGTGATATTTCAGAGGCAGATGAGAGCAAGCTCTGCTGTCTTCTGGAGTGTGAGCCAGCTTTGGTAAGTGTGGTGGTGAGCCTCAGCTGGCAAGTCTGGCTGGGTACCTTAGCTTAGTGTTGCACCGATACAGTTGTGCTAGCTCTGGTTTAGAGGTAACTTGCATACCTAAAGCTCAGCGTAAGGGCAGGTTATCTCCCTCTAAAGTTCCCCTAGGTGTTCCTGTGGAACAAGAGGAAGAAAGAGGGATGCTGCTGCTTTGAGTGGCTGCAGGAAACCTTCCCCTCCTCTACCCTGGTGTAAGCTTTGCTTTGCCGATCTAGTGGATGGCCCTGGCATACTAGTAGCTGCTGATTAATAAATAGTATCTTGTTCCTGAACCGATTCTTCTGTTGCCTTAAGCGTCTGCTCAGTCCTTTAGTTTCTCACAGGGTAAAACCTTCGGCAGATTTCCCAAGATGTCGGAAGGAACTGGGGAGCCACAGGGGAGGGCAGGGGCAGGAACGAGAGGGCACCAGCCTGGTGCCACCATGCTCCCTTCCTCCAGAGGTACCAGGCGGGCTGTGGTGGGGCCAGAGGCAGAGCGTTCGTTCCTCCTCAGCGCATCTGTGGTTAGTTGTGTCCCATTCTGCCCCATGAGTCCCTTTTTCAGTTTCATTTTCTATATGCCTTTATTATAAGGAATAATGTTTTATGTGGATACTAGTCAGTTTTTAAATGGGTATAGAAAACCGTTTCAGTGATTACATGCACCTTGAAAAAAGGCTGAGCTGGGTTTATCGGTCTCTGTTGTGACCTTCGCTCCTGTATTTTTTCATACTGTGTGTTAATAAAGATACTAATTTGGGGGTTTATGGTATCGTTACTGCTTTATAAATCGTATCGTAATTACATGTGAAGGTCATTATCTGGTGAGCATCGTGCAGTATTGGAAGGTAGGGACTCCCAGTTAAGTTTTGACACAGAATCTTCTTGTGACATGACAAGAAAAAACCTTTCTAAGGAAATGATCCCTTAAGGCTTTTCATTATAGTTTTCAGAGCGGTTGCACAATTAAAGAATCAGGTACTAAGAGCTTGGTTTGTTTACTAATCCTCATTTGTATATTAAAAACTCATAATCCTGTATATTTCTTTTATACTGCTTTTTAATATACAGCCATCGCTGTTGTATGTGTAGTACTGGAAGGATCGGTGGAAACATTGCTGTTGATAGGGAGTGAGCAGTCTCTTGTTCTGATTAATTTGGGGTTTTTTTGCTTATTTTATTTTTCTTTAAACAATATTGTCTACACCTTTGCTAAGCACAATTTGGCTAAAGCACTGGTGACAGCCAGAGGTAGCATTTACCATGAGGAAATATTAAGCCGTTACCATTTTCATTGGGAACAGTAGTGACAAACTTGGCGGGGGGGGTGGTGGTGGTGGTGGAGGGAGCAGAGGTCTAATGAAAGCACAGCCATTGGCTACCTCTGTAACCTGGGGAGAGGGATGATCTTGAACTAGACAAATCCTATTTAAAGAATTGGGTAGTTAGTAGTCTTGTCACTCTACAGATTAGCATTTTGAATCACTTTCAGTAAAAATGCAAACTGCCTTTATTATTTCTGTCTTTCAAAAAGCACATAATTGAAAACTATTTTGTTATTGGAGATGCTTCTTTGAATCGCCTTCAGAAAGGAGATTTTTTTAAAAATCTGAATGAATGGATTTATTTGCTTGCTGAATGGCAATATGTTAAGATTGTGTTTGTGCCTTGCATAGCCCCAACTTGTCTGAGGATTGAAAAGGTAGAAGGGCCTCACCCTGCTTTATTTCTTGTATGGGGTAACAAAACCAAACCTAACCTATCGTCTCCACATTGATCTTACAATAAATATTAATTAGGTTATGAATATTTCATGATCTCTCAGCAATCTTTTCATGATCGTTTTTTCATTCCTTCAACTGACTAATGCTGAGGTCCCTTTCTGCATTCCATGTTTTCAAGCGGTATTTGTCCTCTAGTGGGCTGACTGACTTCTGTAATCCAAGAACCACTAGCTTGTCATCCTCAATCAAGTATGCAGCCAAAACTTGGCAGGGAGAATATAACCATTTTTAGATGTTTGCACCCTAATGGTGTGGTGTGGGGTTTTTGGAGTTGTTCCCCCTCCCCCCCCCCCATATTTATTTGAATATTTGTTTAATCTCTTTCTACCTGGGATTCTGATTTAGGGGGGAGCAGTAAAGTAGTTGCAAGCACTCTGTCCTGGGTGGTTTTGGAGAGGAGGAGGGAAGGTGTGAAAGCATAGAGTGTGGTCCTCTTCCTGGTAGATACTGCTGGTTTAGAAGGTTCTGCTCTAGCAGCTGAGGATAAGAGGATCCCAAATGGGGAGGAGGGAGGGAGGAGAATGTTTAAGACACTTTACTGGAGGTAAGTAGCCAGTCTTTAGATATTAACAAAATCTTGACAGCTGTTTTTTAAAGCAACTCAGAGAATAAAAACAATTTAAGAAAATTGTGAGCACATCACTATTATTTTCAACTGAAAGTTCAATAAATTTTGTATTTCATTCCATTATTTAGTGTTAATAGTTTAAAAAAAAAAACAACACAACAAAAAACCTTTCCATTTATCTAACATGTTTCTTGTTTCTACTTGTTTTATTTCTAGCATATTATCAAGTTTCACCGTGCCTCAAAAGCAAATAAAAAGCCCATGCAGTTGCCAAGATCTATGGTTAAATCCCTACTCTACCAGATCCTAGATGGAATCCATTACCTCCATGCAAACTGGGTGCTTCACAGAGACCTGGTAAGTGTTGCATGTTATTACCTGGTTAAGAAAGTTTCATGCGCATGTTGTTGGGTCGGAGAAGAAAAGTCCCTATTAGTAATCTTGCATATCGATCCGTACAGCTTTTCCTGTTATTGTTGCAGGAGACCAATGGAGACTTTAAACATGAAAACAAACTATGTTTTCACATTGTTTTTATCTGAGTCATCTGAGCTCAGACAATGATGCTAGATCCGGTAAAAGGATTGCAGATATCAATATCCGAAAACAGTACGTGAGCCAGCTGATATATGTAGGTTGAACATTCTTATAAGTTTGTGCACAACTTTGAAAAGGCATTTGAGGAAAGTGATTGATACCCTTGTACATTGTTTGGCTTACGTGCAAGTTACCATAAAAGATAATGAAAGAGTAGTTTTTTCATGGAGTATTTCTTTTCCATGTGGTATTTTTTCTGACCGTGGGAAGAGAACTATGAAAGAGTTGTCATCTTGAAATTTCTCATGACCTGAAGTGGCTCTTTAAGTTGACTGCAGATTACAAGGGCAGCCAGTTGCCTTGTCTTAGTTATCCTGTTCCCCTTAAAGTTTCCCGCCACTCCTCATACTTAAGTGAAGCGCTACCAAGATTGCAAAAAGAATACTAATATGGGTATAGTGCTTGCTGCCACTTGCATTGTAATGAGAATTTTTGGCATGAGACAAACAACATGATGGTTAATATGCGAAATCTGTTCTAATAGTTATGCTATTGTAACATCAGTAGTAGTTATGGTAAGAAATATAGTGTCACCTGTGTATAAAGCCACTACTTTTATTTAGTTATGTTTTGTAGTTGCCCCAGTAGGTCAAAATAGGGATGCATGTCCAGAAACTTATAATTGCTAATTAAATTTTGTGAGACATAGATTGTTCTTGAGTCTTTAATAGTAAATAGGGGCTTGGATTAATTTTTGGATGTATGCTTTCTTAAAAGATATGAATAAGTAAGGCAGGCCTGGAATAGAAGTCACAGACATCTTCTGAAATAAATTTTATTTAATTTTTGTCGTAATACCCACTAACAGTGGCCAGAAGTGGGGTTTCAGGTTTTGGTATGGGTCATTTTTTTACCTTGTTCCCTGGTATTTATTATCCGTTTTTCTGTTAAATTCCAGATGTTAGTATATTTGTGGTTTGGTTGGTTTGGTTGTTTTTTTTTTTTCCCCCCAACCTTTGGAATAGCAGCCATGAGCAAAAGCAGGAAGCAGGTACAACCCTGATTTTCATGCTACAATTATTACTTTCCTAAGGAGACAGCTGTTGCTTTGGCAGAGTGCTGAGATGTAATTAGATACAGCTTGAGAAGGAACACCTGAACAGTCTATATTCAGCTATGTTTAAGGGAAGTGTATGTGTTCATGGAACTATTAAATATATATACACTCAAATGCCATACATGAACTTGATATCTTGGTAGGAAATACAAGATGGTATCTAGGATAATAATCACAAATACCCTAGAGAATTTTCTTGCCGGTATTGCTGTTTCCAGCCGGCAGCACCAGGTGTTTTGGATGACTAGTGCTGCTACTTCACAGGTCTTATCTATTGTTGATGTGTTGCAGCAAAGCTGGTGCCTAATGTCTCTGTCTTTTCTCTTGGAACTTTGGGAGGTAATGGTTATGAAAAAGACAACTATTTTTCATGGTACTTGAATGATAGTGCTGATTAATGTTGGCATAATTGAGAAGGGAGAACAGAAATTTGTGAAGTCTTAATGAGTTCTTGGTATGCAAATAAATTTAAGCTAATGGTTTCTGGGATACCTCAGTGAGAGAAAGGAAACCATTTAAAAATTGCTTTGGTACACTGGTGATTTAAAGGTGTATTCAGAATCTTTTGCCTTTTTAAAAAATTATCGCGGATTTCTGAAGAATTCAGGTATTTCAAATAGTTATTTTGTATCTTGAACACAGTAAGAAAAAACTGATATTATTCTGGATGTGTCCTGTCTGCTCTTGAAATTAGGAGTTAATGTAATCATTTAGTAACCAATTCAAATTCTCAGTTAACCAAAAATTTTATGTATCTTAATTTTTATTCATATGCTCATAACTGTGATTTTTTTGTTTGCTTCTAAGAACGGTACCTCAAGATCCAATTTTACTGGGATCAGTTTCTTGCATAATACATAAATACCAACTCTTCAGTGTCGTCTTAAGATGGGGAGCGGTCTGTCTGGTGTTTTTCTCTTAGCTGCTTTAATTTACATCCGCTGGAAAAATATTTTTCTGTTTTATGTAAACCAATATTTTGCATCAAGACACCTTGTACTTTTAGTTTAATATAACTCTGTTCTTACTATTTTTAGCATGCATTTGGATGTAGACCAAAGATGGTGACATCCATAAAAGTCATGTTATGCTTATTTCATTGCTTTATTTTTTAAAAAAATTAGATTCTCCAAGAATATTTATCATAATATTAGCCAAATTCTCCTGAGCCATGAAATGACCCTTAGAATTTATTTCACAAATGTTGCAATGAAAAAACAGAAACATGGGAGGTTAAGTATTTGCAAGAGTACTTGTTTGGAGGTATTTGAAGAACATTGTTTAAATCTCAATTTGGTACTGTATTAACCAAGGAGTTTTTAAAGAAGCTAGAATACCAAATGTGCTTTTTTAAAAAAACCCTGGTTCTCAGTAGATCCATATTTTTAGATAACTTTAAATTGTTACTCCTAAGTTATTTTTAAGATCAGCAGCAGCCAGCAAAAGCATGACAGAGTAATACAACTGGTGAACAATGTGAACTTTCAGACTTGCAATACATGTCCTGTCCTTGGGCTGAGCTAACAGATCGTTCCTACCACAAGGAGACAGCCTTGTTCCCCTCTTCACTACCACTAGGCATTGCCACCCATTTTAGTGGCCTGGCAGGTGACACTCACCTGACACATGGTGAGCTTATTCAGGCAGTTAAACCTGCAGAAAGTATTCAGTCTTCTCCTGGAGAGCTTGTTTTCTGCAGGATTAGCTCCCTGGGGGATCTCACCGGGAGCTTACACGCGTGTGGGAGCTGGCGCAGAAGTAGCGTGAGGCTGGAGATGGAGGCAGAAAGGTGAACGGGGCGTTCTGGCATCATCTGCCATTAGATCAGATTATTGTTAAAATGCACCTTTTTAATTCTTCAATGAAAGTTCAAGTGTTTTTAAAAAATGAAATTCAGTTGTGGTTCTAAATCAGTATAACCTATGTTTACCTTTAATCTCTTCTGATCCAGTACTTATGTCAGCTTAAACTCTTCCAACACATGTCCAAATTTAGGAAAATGCCTAAACTGAGGGAAATTATAACACGAAATACACTCATGCTTGTACTTCTAGAAATACAAAAATAATTTACTGTAGTGTATATTTTAATATATTGTAATGTTGGGGTTATTTTGTTCCTGGTTTTCTTATCCTGAAAGTAGCTTAAAGGTGCTAAGTGGCTTTTTAGGTACATTTTTTGGCTAAGCTGTGAATTTCTGTCATTTAAAAAATACTCAGCAGTAACTTTCTTTGTTGCAAGATTCAAACCAGTACAGACTATGGGACAAGAGCATTAGAGTTTTGATTTCTTTGAATAGCATTGAGTCAGTTTATACACCTTGCAGTTGACATAAGTCTATAGAAATCTGTACATTTGTTCTTCTGTCAAGCCATTTGGAATGGCATTTTGTTGTTGAATTGCATGTTGTTGGACAATGATAATTTTGCCTTTTCAACATAGCAGCACTCCTGAAAGCCACATGTGAGAGGAGGGAGGCTTTGCTGGCTCTGCTAGCTGCTGGCCATTTCATTATAAACAAGAGGTTATTATAGATAAATATTAGAGAAAGAACCTTTTGGTACTAAGCTTTTGTTTTTTAAAGTGCTCTGTATATACTGTCAGCTGTCCACTTGAAGGAGACCTAAAATTGTGCTCTGTACCTTGAGTCAATAGCAAGTTAGAAGATGCAGCATGTGGAATACAGTATTTGAGGGTATTACAATATCTGGTCAGGTTGGTCAAGCAGGATCTTCACTTCATGAACCCGTGCTGGCTGGGCCTGGTGGGTTCATGAAGGGAAGATCCTGCTTGACCAACCTGATCTCCTTCTATGACAAAGTAACCCGCTTAGTGGATGAGGGGAAGGCTGTGGATGTTGTCTACCTGGACTTCAGTAAGGCCTTTGACACTGTCTCCTACAGCATTCTCCTGGAGAAACTTGACTGCTCTTGGCTTGGATAAGTGCACTCTGCACTGGGTTAAAAACTGGCTGAATGGCCAAGCCCAGAGAGTGGTGGTGAATGGAGTCAAATCCAGGTGGCCACTGGTCACTAGTGGTGTCTCCCAGGGCTCAGTGTTGGGGCCAGTCCTCTTCAATATCTTCATTGATGATCTGGATGAGGGGATTGAGTGCACCCTCAGTAAGTTTGCAGATGACACCCAGTTGGGCAGGAGTGTTGATCTGCTGGAGGGTAGGAAGACCCTGCAGAGGCACCTGGGCAGGCTGGATCATTGGGCTGCGGCCAACTGTATGAGGTTCAACAAGGCTCAGTGCCGGGTCCTGTGCTTTGGTCACAACAACCCCATGCAACGCTACAGGCTTGGGGAGGAGTGGCTGGAGAGCTGCCTGGTGGAAAAGGACCTGGGGGTGTTGGTTGACAGCCGCCTGAACATGAACCAGCAATGTGCTCAGGTGGCCAAGAAGGCCAATGGCATCCTGGCTTGCATCAGGAATAGTGTGGCCAGCAGGACCAGGGAGGTGATAGTGCCCCTGTACTCGGCACTGGTGAGGCCACACCTCGAGTACTGGGTTCAGTTTTGGGCCCCTCACTCCAAGAAGGACATTGAGGTGCTGGAGCGTGTCCAAAGAAGGGCAACAAAGCTGGTGAAGGGTCTGGAGAACAAGTCTTAGGAGGAGTGGCTGAGGGAGCTTCTTTAGTCTGGAGAAGAAGAGGCTGAGGGGAGACCTTATTGCTCTCTACAACTACCTGAAAAGAGGTTG